GTGAAGTCATCATCAGTGTTTTGTATTCTACCTGTTGTGAATAAGCCTCAGCTTAGCATGACTTTCAGATTTTACTGTAGTCTTTTAACAGACTTAAGGGGATTCCTTGGAGTGTCCATAAACTTCGTGGGGAGGACTTCCACCAATCATCCTGGGAAAAGTACGACCGCATTTCTGGTCAGGGCTCCAACGGGCTGGACGCTGTGATGAACCATTAACCATTGTTCAAATGTCGCCCATACCCACTCTGACTCAATCTCTTGCCTCAGCATTCCCTAACCCCTGCAACCAAGTTTTAGTCAATCAAGTTTAAATAGGCCTCCCATACTGGGACTGGGGAATGTACGGTCTGAGATGCCTATTAAACTTTTCTTCTGCTTAGTTCTGGTTTCATGAGGCGTGTGTGTGGGTGGAGGGGGTGGAAATAGAAAAAGTCCTTTGTAAATCCAGTGCCAGGGCTCCCTCAGGAACACAGAGCTGACAGGTAACAGAGCCCCAAACCCAATTCCTTATTCAAGCCCATATACTGAGTACAGTGCCTGGGGGGACCTGTCAGATGGATGCCTGGCATGAACAAACCGCACTTTAGGCCAGGCAAGACCATAGTCAGAGAAGTCTGGGAGTGTCCTCTGGCGCCACAGAGGCACGGTTTGGGGTGGGCCGAGAAGGATTTCCAGTCATAATCCCTGCCCAAAACCAGTTCCTTATTTGAGCCATAATATTTAGCACAGTGGCTGGGGTGCTGTTAGTTGGCACCCTGGCACGGCCAAAATGCACGTTAAACCAGGCAAGTCTCTGGCTAGAGATGTGCAGAAGAGTTCCCTGGTGGTACAGAGGCATGGTGTGGGGTGGCCTAAAAAGATTTCCAACTATAAGCCCAGACCAAACGGGTTCCTTATTGGAGCCATTATACTTAATACAGTGGGCATGGGGGAGGGGAGCTGTTAGTTGGCACCCTGGCACGGCCAAATGGCATTTTGGGCTGGGCAAGTCTCTGGTCAGAGATGTACAGGAGAGTACCCCAGTGGCACAGAGGTATGCCATGGGGTGGCCAAAGAAGGATTTCTAGCTATAATCCCAGCCCCAAAGCCAATTCCTTATTCAAGTTTATACACTTAGTACAGTGGGAATGGGGTGCTGTCAGTTGGCAGCCTGGTACGGCCAAGCCACGTTTTTGGGCCAAGCAAGACTCTGGTCAGACATGTCCAGGAGAGTCCCCCGGAGGCACATAGGCGTGGTGTCAGGTGTCCTATGAAGGATTTCAATCTGTAATCTCAGCCCAAATGCTAGTTCCTTATTCAAACCTATATAGTTAGTACCATGGAAATGTGGGGCTGTCAGTTGGCAGCCCGGCACGGCCAAACCGTGCTTGGGGCTGGACAAGTCTCTGGTCAGATATCTCCAGGAGAGTCCCCTGGTGGCACAGAGTCATGGTGTGGGGTGGCCCAAAAATAATTTAATCATAATCTTAGCCCAAAAGCCAGTTTCTTATTCAAGCCATTATGCTTAGTACAGTAGGCATGAGGGGGCTGCCAGTTAGCAGCCTGGAACGGGCAACCTGCACTCTGGATAGGGTAAAACTCTGGTCGGGCGTGTCTGGGAGAGTCCCCCAGTGCCACAGAGGTATGTTGTGTTGTGGCCCAAACAGAATTTCTAGCCATAATCTGAGTCCAAAAGACAGTTCCTTATTCAAGATGTTATACTTTGGACTGTGGGCATGGGGGCTGTCAGTGGCAGCCTGGCATGGCCAAACCATGGTTTGGGCTGGGTAGGACTGTGGTCAGGGTTCTTTGGGACAGTCCCCCAGTGGCATCGACAGGAAGTTTGGGGTGGCCTAAGAAGTATTTTGCCCCATAATCCGACCCTCATCTGACCTTCGTTTAGGGCTCTGTACTTAATGTGGGATATTATTTTACATATTAATTAGTACATATGCATAGCTAATGAAATTCTTTTTAGGATTTTTAATTCATTAATAAGAAGCTTTTATTGGGGTCTAGATTAGCTTTGAAAAGGGAACTGGGAATAAGCAGCCAACTTCAGCCTCATTCCCATGTTGGCATGGCTGTCATGATGGGTCTTCATTTATTTTTAACTTCAGTTGTAAACAGGTCGTAGTGGCACCAAATCCATCTTTAAATAAAAAAACCATCATCTGGGTAGATGACTTTGATTTCTTCCAGCCAGTGATTAGAAAGGATAAAAATTCTCATTTGTCAAAATTTGCCTCTCTATTAGCTGTCGTTTGGGGCTGTTTATTCTGGATTTGATCTTTTATTATTATGATTATTATTGTGACAATTAGTGGTATTATTAGTATTATTATTTCCTTTCTCCTCCCCACCCGCCCTGAGTTATTTCAGCTCTGCCCAGAGAGCACATAATGGGGCAATGGCACCCTCCCCTCCTTCCCTTGCAACCACATAACCGGCCTTCTTAATGGCTAAAGGCAGATAAGGGGATTGCTGCTGGGTCCTGCTCAGTCATCAGAGCCAAGATAGGCTCGTGACTGGTCTGTCTGTCCCCCATACCCTCCCCCAACTCCCCCTGAGAGCAGAGGGGGGCTCTTCTCCCTGCCCTCCATGCAGCTACAGCCAGGTAGCTCTTTCCCTCTGTGAACTGGCTTCTGGGAGTGGTGCTCCAGTGGTGCAGAAAATGCCATCCCCTGCCTCTGTAGCATGACTTGAAACCAAAAGTCCCATGGAAGCCAGCCTTTATGAGATTTTATTTTCTTTTTTCCATTCCTCTTCCTTTTACAACAAGGTGTCTATGAAACATTTTCTCTTAACTTTTTAATCCTGAGCCATTTTGGTTCTCGCCAGCGTCAAGGCACTCATGTTTACAAAATCAAATTGAGATGCGCAGAATTGAGACATGTTTTCCTGTACATTTTCCGAAGAGCATCTTTTGTTAAGTCCACTGACTGTGTCTGTCTTGGTGCAGTTGATGTTTATTGGTACTGTGTATTGAGCTGGTCCCTGAGTGAATCATGATTAATTGGTAACTGGTAACACAGTAGCTTAGCAGCCAGGCCTGCAGTAGTCCCCTGTCCCACGCCTCAAGATAGACACAGTTGCACAAGGACCCATGTCGCAAGTTTTGCCTGTCAGCAGCTGGAGGTGCAGGGCCCTGGAGCCCATAAGCCCTACACCGATCTCCTCAACAGCTGGCAGGCTTCGTCGCCTCAGCAGGGGCCACCATCTCTGCAGCTTTCACCCTGCTGCGCCTGAACACACACCGTGTCACCCACAACACGAGTTTTGCTTGTCCGTATCTTGAGGTGCAGTTTCCCCAAAACCCCTGCACTTATCTCCTTGACACTTGGCAGGCTTTGTGGCCTCAGTAGGGGCCACCACCCCTGCAGTTTTCAGCCCGCTGCACCTTAACACACATGGTCATCTATGTCACGAGTTTTGCCTGTCAGCAGCTTGAGGTGCAGTTCCCCCCAAAACCCTGCACCGATCTTGAAACTTGGAAGGCTTGGAAGGCTTCATGTCTTGTCAGGGTTACCACCCCTTCAGTTTTCACCCCCCTGTGGCATAACACATACACATGACATGAGTTTTGCTTTGAAGAATTTGGGGTGCAGTTCCCACCGAGCCCCTGCACCAATCTTCTTGTAACTTGGCAGGTTTCATGCTCTTAACAGGGGCTACCACCCCTGCATGTTTCATCCAAATCAGACAAAAACAACAAAGCTGTAGATATTTCATTGATTCCCCATTATACCCTATGGCCGGATCGCGGAAGCGGCTCCGAAGCTTCCTACTCACACAGGCCTACTAATGACTGTAATGGACTACAGAATCCAGATCTACTCTAAGCAGGATTACCTCCATCATCACATCCACAGCTGCCCCATTCAGGCCATGGAAAGCTGTCTGTCCACCAGGCATGGTAGGATTGACTCTGGGACAGTTGGCTGTGCTGACCTCAGAGAATGGGAGAGCTTTGCATCTCCCTGGGTGATTATAGGATCATATTTCTGAAGACAGATGTACTTTTGGGGCATCTAGAAGCAAAGACACACATTTTAATGGGATAGAACCTGGGTCAAACCTATTTCAAAGGAAGTGTAGAGAGAGTGTCTGATCTTATGGGGAAGGGATGTTGAACTTCAGCACAAAGACTTCCTAAATGAACTCTGTACAATGGGGAACAGCAAAGGAGAAGAGAAGGTGGTAGGTACTCAGCAAAATCAGTGACATTTAGGAGGCAGCAGTGCAGTACTTGGAGGTACCAAGTAGTTATTTCATCTCAGTGAGCAATTTTAATTCATTTTCAGCAAAATCTTAAAAACTTGAAGACCTGAACTTCTTCAACTGTGACATCACAAACCTGAAGGATTACAGAGAAAGGATTTTTGAGCTGCTTCAGGTCACCTACCTAGATGGATTTGATCAGGAAGATAACAAGGCCCCCGACTTGAAAGATGAAGATGATGAGGGTAACTTCTCTAAACATGCAGTCATTAGTTATGCCATTCAGTCAGTATCTAAATATAAAATTGAGACTAAAGTGACTGTGGAACTGCTGGAGCACAAATCAACTACTTTTTCAAGTGAAGGCCAGTATCAAATACTGCTTCTATTGAGTAATGAAAGGGGGGGGGGGGGGGGCAGTGCACTTGCAAAGAATGTAGTCGTGGATGCTGTGCACAGTTAAAGGAGAGTTGTGCTTAGAAAAACATGAGTACACATCTTTGCACTGAGATATAACTATATAAAAACAGTTATTTTATTGCTAGTACCAAAAGCTTTTTTTTTTTTTTTTGTGCCCATCATCTCATATTTGATTCTGTGGCACATTCAGTTCTGTGTTTTCTCTTCCTATAGAAAGAGAAAAAAGTGGGATGCTACTTCGTCCTGTCTTTTTTTAAAGATTTCTGGAGAAGGTTTTGTAGCTGAATTGAACCAGATTTCAGAAGCTCATTTAAGATGAGTTTACAAACAAGCCTTTGAGGTTTAAGCAAAGCTGTAAGGAATTAATTTACCTGCCTCAGAAGGATGGATGAGGAGGAGGTCCACCAGGAGAGTACAAAGAAGGTGAAGATGAAGATGATGGAGGTTCAGATTTGGGGGAGGGTGAAGAGGAGGAAGAAGTTGGCCTTTCATACCTGATGACGGACGAGATCCAGGTAGGACTTACCCTAGTCTACTATAAGGCTCAGGATTTTCTTGACACTGTCTAGCTATAAACATGTAATAATTTAAACTTGTATAAGCAGAATCATGTAAATACACTATCATATGTGAGCAATAGAGTACTTTAGAGAGAGACCTTTTACTATCAAAGAAGTGCGTTACAGTAGGGGAACCACCGCTCTTTGGTATTCTCCGTTATCTTGCTCAACATGAAATGCTTCAATCAAGATTCATTACTTTGCTGCCTTGTAGAATTAGTGGCATTCTGTACCAGATCACCAAGTCAGATTTTGAGGAGAACGTGGCTGAAAGAAACCCACCTGCCCTACCAGGATGCTCACAAGTGCCTGGAGAGCTTTGGCCTTGACAGCCATGCCCTCACCATCCAGATCTGCAGATTGTCAGGTATGGGGCTGGGGCTTCCAGGCAGGGGGGAGAGGGTGAGTATGGAGGAGCTAGGGCCTGAGGGTGCAGGGGGATGATCAGGATGTAAGGGCTGAGGCAAAGGGGAAGTCAGGCTGGGAATCCATGAGTGGGGGCTGGCCACCAAGGAAAAAGTCAGGGAGAGGCTGGAACTGTGCCCCTGAGAGTGGTGTGGGTTTGGCCTTGCCGGGGAGAGCTGGGGCAGGGGGCGGAGACTTCCCCTTGGAGGGAGCACATTGCCCTTCCCCTGGGTGGGAGCACAGGACCTTGAGCTGCTGTTAGTGGAGGGAGGTGGGTGGGAAGCTGGATCCTGGCATTTTGGGGAAGGAGAAGGGATTGGACACTCCTTTCACCCCACTTATCTCAGGGCCCTTTTCTTTCCTACCCAGGGGGGCAGAAAGCCTGTGTGATGTTTGCTGAGCTGACCTGCAGGGAGCCTGATGGACCCAGGGGATGGGAATGGGGCTGTGTCGGGGTCGCTGCTCTGGGAAGGAAGCGAATTAGAGCAGAGCAGGCATGAGGACCAGGACTTGAGGACTGGTAGGTTGTGCCCTGCTCTGGCTCTGTGAAAGGAGTGATGTCCAGCATGCCATAGTGAGGGGCATGGTTTGGGAGGACTCCTGGGTCCTGTTTCTAGCTGAGGGAAGGAGGGCGGGGTAGGTGGAAGTGGGGGGCAGGACGGTTCTGTGGCTCAGGATTCCTGGCTTCTTTTTGGGATCTGTCACTTCCCCAGAATGAACCCACAAATAATCTGTACATTGAGTCAATTGATACCTTGGGTGATGCTATCAGCACGTACATGGAAGTGAGTGGAAGCAGCACGGTGGGAGGTGTCCACTGCCAATATCAGAGGAGGATGGAGTTGGGGAAATACTAGGCCCATGGATCGGATTCAAGGGTGGATGGCGATACCGGGCTGGGGTGGCCTCATGGGTCCAATCTGTCAGGCAGAGGAAGGTAGTAATAGGTCCATGGGTCAGATCCAGCCCGGCATGGATGGCGTTCCAGTCTGGGGCTGTAGGGAAGCAGAAGGGTTACTTGGCTGGGGGTGGACCCGTGGGTCCCATGGGAGGGTTGGTTTACTACAGGCAGTGCCCTCCTGCCAGGGTTGCCGTTGGGTCGCAGTTGTGCCCTTCACTGCCCAGCCCTGTTCTGGCAGTGGCTGATGGGGAAAACATGGGGTCTTTCCATTCTCCTTCAGTATGGAAATAGCCTCTGCTTTCCTTCCCACCACCCTCATGCTTTGCCTCCTTTCTCCTCTTCACAGCGGTTATCAACGTGAGCCAGGGTGCGCGACTGATCACGGAGACCAGCTGCCAGCTGTGGGTGGTGGAGGAGCAGTCCAACAACCAGATTAACGGCAACTTCAATTACAAGTGGGAGGTGCTGGAGGCCTCGGGTAAGGTCATCATTAACTGGCCCCGGGAGTGATCTTGCTCTGGGGAGGCTCCTCAAGGACCTGCCCATCCCCTCTTAGAGACCTGCCTCCACAGCTTCACATGCACCCATACCCAAAGGACTCTGTGCAGAGGGGCCAGGGCCGCAGGCATGGTTGTGGGTTGAACTTTGAAGATGTGGGGTGGGGGCCTAATGCAAGACATGTTTATGTTTAGAGCTGTTCTTCTATACCTGCTCCTTTCCCAGGAGAGAGAGACTTGATTTATATGAATGGGAGGGAGGAGGTTGTACTGGAATGGTCTATTTTAGGCAGGAGTGAGGGCTATCTTTGTCCCATTGCTGGGTTCCCTGCCCCCCCAGTCTGAAGAATGGTTTGAGCCTTGTTTTGCTTCCACCCAAGAGGATTATATTAAAATATAATAAAGGAAAAGTGGCTTGTGGTGGTTTTTATTCTGAAGGGGTAGGAGTGGGGCTTCACACCTGAGGCAGGAGGGACACACCTGAGATTTCAGTGGACAGACAGATTAGGCTGAGGCATGGGGATGGAGAGAGCTTCCCTGTAAGACACATGGCTTGTCCCATCATAGACAATGGTGGTTGAAAGGGACCTCAAGGTGTCATCTGGTCAAGTCCAACCCCCTGCTTAGAACAGGTCCACCCACAACTATATCATCCCAGCCAAAGCGTTCTCCGCCGAGGCCTTAACCTCCAAGGATGTAGATCCCACAGCCTCTCTGGTTGAGCAGTAGTGTGGGAGTACTCAGCAGTATTCCTGCCCAGAGCAGGACTCAATGATTTTTTGAGGTCCCTTCCAGCCCTTATATCTTTTCTAGAAAATCATACAGATTAAATGACTAGTCAGTACAGATAAGGATTACAATTTATAAAAAATGCACCTTTATCTCAAGGCACAACCAAGTTATAAATATCTGAAAGCAGTTTAATTTTTTAAAATTTTTACATCCTAAAGTTTTTAAAAATCTCTGAAAGGTGACCATCTGGTTAGGGAAAGGACCTTCTTACCTAGGTTTCAAATTTAAGTTTTTAAAGAACTCTTTATATTAGTTCATCTACACATGAGCTGTTCAGCAAGAATCATAGTTCAAGGCTGAAGAGCAGAAGTTCTGAGCTGAACCCAGATTTTTATACTTGGTGGTTTGACCAAAATACCAAAAAGCTTACTAAATAAGGTAATAAAATGTAAATGTGTTCCTAACAGGTGCTACTGTAATTAATATTCACATGCCCATTCTTTTTCCCCTATATAATCTGTATCTTAAATTAGCCTCGTCTAAGTACTAAATGTAGTTTAAGTGACCTTACAGAGACCTCTAACCTGCTCTTTTTCTATTCTGTCTTTCTTGAATTTTCTAAAATGGCTCACACCGTGTGATGTCCTCTGGCCTGATCATTTCCTTTGCTTGCCTCTTTTTTTTTCAAATGGATGCAAACAAATGCTATGCAATTTAAGGCCTATCATAGTCCACATCAGGGGTCCGCAACATTTTTGGGCAGGGTCCCAAAAACGTCTGCAACCTCAACATATAAGATGCTGGCATGCGAGGGGCAGACGGCAGGGGAGCCGTGAGGGTTCAGATCCTTGTTGTGGCAGTGCAGCCCTGGTTCCTTCTCCGCGGCATGTGTGCAAAACAAAATGCCTTTGCTTGCCACACTGGCACATACACTGGGGGTTGCCTGTCCCGGTCTACATACTATCCAGGGTATGTGGGGTAGGGCCTGCCATACAGCTGCCTGAGTTCACCTCAGAGCTGGTCACTGATTCAAATGGGGTGAGCCAGGGGCTTGCTCAGTGTAGCTGAAATACCTTTCCTGGGAAGTCCATGCCTCTGGGAAACAGCATTACACCAGCCTCACATTTGTCTGACTTGGTTCTCATGGTTCACTTAGAAGGTGAAGTTTAAATAATCTTGGGTACCAGTGCAAACCCTGGGTTGGATCCTGTGCAGCTGAAGCCACCAGGAGCTTTGCTGTTGCTTTCCCAGACTAAAAGCAGACAACCAGTTGAGTACATCCCCGATTAGACTGGGATATAACTTGCATCAAAATAGACAAGGCATGATCATTCACACACTAGGCTTAAATGGTAATTGGGTTGAATCAGTCGTGACTGTTCTTGGAGGAAGTGTTAATTTAATTAATTTACAGATAGTCCATATGAGACAATGGGCTTGTTGGTCTGTAAATTCTGTGGTTTGCTACTAGATAAAAATGACTGCTTTTCACCTCAGTAGACAAAACTGGCCTGTTAGTCTCTTCTGTGTGCTGAGCACAACTGGCTCCTTCCTTCATAGTCTGCTCCTGCTCAGGAGAAAAGACAGTTCCACTTTTTCCTTATTCCCATCCAGTCCCATGCTCCCTAGCCCTTGTCTTCTCCATTCTGTCCTCAGAGAGAGCCACTGGGACAGCCCACTGGTTGCACACAGAAGAGGCCACTAGATGTCGATGGTGTCATACAAATTCCTTCTCTGCCCCCAGTGCAGCTGCCTGCTCTGTGCCTGTCTTTACATAGGAGAAAAGTGGTTCAGGTGAGCATTGCTGTAGGTGCTAGGCTGATGCACGGCTCAGTAGGCCTGTGCAGAGCAGCTAGCATTCGATTCGGATTCTGCCGATTTGGGGGACAGTGATTCTATTCAGTGATTCAAATCACCGTCCCGATTCGATTCGGCCAAATTGCCAAATCTCCGAATCTGCCAGGCCAAGTCCACCCACAGCCCTCTCCCAGCCTGGCAGTGGGTGCCCCAGCTCCTGGCACTTGTAAAAAAAAACAAGCCCCGGGCCAGCGTGTGCTGCCACGCGGGGGGACGATTTCTGCTGTTCTCCCCCCACCCCCTGCTGCATGGGGGGCTTTGCATGAGCCCCCCGATCCTCCCCTTGCTACCCCAGCCCCCACATGGGTGCCCTGCCTGGGCCAGCTCTGGCCCTTTAAGAATCCCCCCAAGAAAACCCTGGGACTCACCGCTCCTGCCAGCGGGAGCTGATCCCTGCTGCCCCGCACTACTCTACGTCACGTGGGGGGCTCTGCATGAGCCCTCAAAGCCCCAAGGTTGCTGCAGGAGCGGTGAGTCCTGGGTATTTTCTCAGCTTTTTTTTTCTTAAAGGGCTGGAAAGGCCCCCATGCAGTGTGGGGCAGTAGGGATTATCCCTCCCAACCCAGCAGTACCCGCTGACCACCAGGGCTTTTCTTTAAAGTACAGAGCTGGGGTGGGCAGCCATGGGGGGGCTGGGGGAGCAGGGGAGTCGGGGGGGGCTGGCAGGGGGCCTACCATGGTAATCCAAAGATTCAGAGAGCTTTGAATTGATTCAGACCTTTAAATTGCCCTCCTGATTTGATTCGGATTCAGAGATTTGACCATCAAATTGGGCCAAATCTCCTCCAAATCGAATCACCACCCGAAACTTCACACAGCCTTACTGCTCAGCTGGGTGGTCACAACACAGAGGAAAGAGCACAGGGAAGGCAGGATGCTGCTAGGTCTATTTTAGGGGTGTCTGATCCAGGATTTTAGCTAAGGCCACTTGATTTGCCCCGAGAAAATTTCTGGAGAGTTAATATTATGAGGGGAAAGGGCCATGCTGGCTGCCCCAGAGACAGCA